ATGAAATCATTACCTTTACAATACACCCCCACATTTTTAAATATTTGTAGAAAGATTTTCCACAATTCCATAACTTATATGGTGACTTGTCAAATTTTTCGGGAAACTTTATTTAAAAGGTAATTAGCTGAAAAACAACATCCCCACATATTCTGTGATAACCCAGAACTTCTTAGCATTGTGTTCATCATTTTATTTTTAAGAATTAATTCTTCCGCTTTGCTACCCCATGATGGTGTCACTTTATGAATAATATCATGTTGTGCACAGTATTGACCAATTAATTTTCCTTACCAAATTAAAATCATTTAAGATTTCCAAGGAAAGAAATTCAATAATTTATTTTCCTTACAAAGTTATAATCATTTAAGATTCTCAAGAAAATAAATTCAACATTCTATTTTCCTTACAAAGTTAGAATCATTAAAGATTCTTAAGAAAAAAAATCTAACTATTTGTTTTCCTTAAGAAGCTATAATCAACACAAGATTCTAACAATAAAATAAATTCAATGATTTATTTCCTTTATATTATGTTAATTGACTGGATTATTAACACTAAAACTTTAAACAAATATATCACAACAACTCGATCTGTTTAACAAACGAAAATCGAAAGGAATTAATCATTTAATTTACCAATCCAATAATCAAAAGGAATTAATCCTTTGATTTTAATTTTCACACTCCTATAATCGAAAGGAACTGATCCTTTTATTTTACTTTTTGCAACACAATAATCAAAAGGAACTAATCATTTGATTTTACTTTTGACAACCCAATAATCAAAAGCCTTAGATTAAACTTTAAATATGTTTGTATCTACAACATTTCTCAAAAGAAATTTTTAGTATAATAATAAAATTTATAGTGTTTCAAAAAACACAAACAATAATTATTATATCATTTAATAATAATTATAAATACCAAATGTATTCTTTATTCATGTCATATTTAATATTCCATATTAATACGCCAAAGGTTATATGGTAATAATACCATAACAATAATATTATGATTAATGCTCACGTGCACTTTTATGGGCAAAATCTTATCATAATGATATTCCCCAATAATACCATAATATAGAAAGAATCATGAAAGAATCACATTGATTATTTAATTTCTCTACATTTATGGGCAAAAATCACATATGGAATTTTTATTTTCCATAACTAAAGAATCACATTTATTCTTTTATTTGTGAAAAAGGCAAATCACCATGCGCTTCTCACCATGCATTTGTGTACTTACGTAAGTTAGTTCCTACGTGAGTTTGTAAAGCAATTTGAAAAAAAAAACTCATGTACCATTGCGCATATTCAAATCAATCTCACTTATTTTCAATTTTTTATTATCGAATAGAAACAACGTTTCAAACTTAGTAACCAACGTTACTTTAACAATAATTTCTATTAAATAGATTTGCCCACTTTGAAATTAAGCAAACCCATTAAGAACGACAGGAAAAATCCCGAAAACAAATTTATTTGCTTATATCAATTTTTTCAAGATTTTCGAATCGTCTCAGATTTATTTTTTCCATAAAGGTAGAAGATAGAAGTCTGACTTAATATTGTTAGAGGTATAACAATTCGAGACGAAAAGAAAATAAAAAAAACAAATATTTTATAGATCCACAATTTGCTTCCATGGTGATTCATACAAGTCGCAAAAACAACATTCAATTACTCGACATATCTTGTCGTAAAATTTGTTTACATGAATCAAGAATAAAACAAACACAATTAATAACATGGAAAATATTCGATTAAATAATTTGAATAGAAAACCATAAATATATTAATAGAAATAAGTTGAGGCCTGCAATTATGCAGTTTCCTTGAAACAGATTTTCGACCACTCTTTGGTGCTCGAGATCTTTAATCGCCTGTCTCCCAGGATACATCAACGAGATGATCAGCGCACAGTAGCACAACTGTCGAGATCTCGAACGATTCACTGTCTTCGCCTATCACCAAAAACGAGAGAAAATAATTCATTTAAATTGATTTTTGAGTTTTTTTAATTGTGTTTAATCTAGTAGGTTAACGCAGTATTTATAAGGAGTTCACATTATGATTAATTAGAAAATTTTGACCTAATAAAACATTAATGAAAATCAAACAATTAATCAATTTTTAAAATTATTGTTTTGATTAAAGGAATATTTTAATATTTATTCTTTTAATTCAAAAATAGATTTTAAAAATATATTCTCTATTTAAAAAAATATCTCATATTTAAATTAAAATATATGCAGACCCACAAAAAAACTAAATCAATTCGAACATTCATATTACTCACATAATACACGTCTGCATATTTAAAAACAAATAATTAGTTCATATTTTCATCAACAACATTTAGGTCAATTTATCTTTTAAAGTTATAAAATTATCAAAAGAGTTTCCAACAAAGTCACCACCGAGTCAATGTGGCCAGACGGGGGAACCGAAACATCAGACGACGGCAAGTCTACGAAATTTGAAGACAATGTTTTCTCAACATTTGACGGTACAAGATAATTTAAAGGTTGGTTGATCACCAAATCAGTGACCGAGTCAACTCGGCATTGTTCCGTTAACGGGTTGGGAGCCGGTGGATCTCCCTGTTTTGATGCAGGCAATTGAGTTGAGCACCGAGTGAGCTTCGAAACGGGGACGCCGTCAATTGGGTTGCGAATTAATTCGCAAGACTCAAGGAGGCGGAACCGTTGAGTCACCTCGTTTTGAATGGCGGTGAAGTAAGCATCGAGGTCGGACCATGAGATAGAGAAAGAATAAAGGTGCTGAGAGTTGGCTTTGAGATCATCGAACGCTTTCTTGAGCTCTTCTTTTTTGACGTCAATGAGTTTGATTTCCGATTCTATTCTTCTCAGCGACTGGATGTTTTCTGACGACATTCTTTCTACGAGATCAATTGTGTTAAACAGAGGCGAGTTTCTTTGCGTTTTTACCAAAAATATCCAAATATTATAATATTACTTGTGAGGCATACGTTAAATGCGCCTTTGTTTAGGTGGGCTGAAGGAGTGTTCTCTTAAGTGCGCCTTTACTTTAGGGAACACACTTTCGGTTCACATAAGTAAAGGCGCATTTCACGTAATGTACCTTATTATAAAAGATGTTATATCGATAAAATTTAAAAAATTAATGTTCGATAAGTAATATTATAATATTTGAGTGATTTTTAGTAAAATCGCCGAGTTTCTTTTTTATTAAAAGAAAAATAAGATCAAATAAAATCTCTAGGACATACTCTTACATAATTATGGAAAACAAAAAAGAAAATCCAAATGTAATTATAACTTATTCAAAATATTTTTAATTCATATGACAACAAATATTTAAATACTCTCAAATTTATAAAATTTATGAATAATAATTATCATTTTAATTTTTGAAATAGTTTAATTCGTGTAAAAACATATTTTTTAATCATAAGAAAGAGCCTAATTAAGACTTAGGCTTACAATAAGGAAGACCATAGTCATCTCTATCTAGAAGAGGCAGTAAAGAAACCGGGAGCGAATCATAGATGTTCAATGAATAAGAAAGCAGATCAACTTGTTTGGCCAGAGAGCCCGCAGGAAAGTTTCCTTCACGAGGTGTCCAAAGAAAGCTAGTCACCCAAACATGTCGTCGAAGTCTGTGAATAGCTCTCACCAAAGGAATAAAACTAGTGGCTGTTGTACTATCTTGAAGAATCTTGATTGCTTGAGCATTATAAGATTGGATTTGGAGGATTTCAGATCCATACTATCAAGCAACATGAAGCCTTGATAAATTGCCCAAAGCTCAGCATGAAAACTGTCCATTTATCCGGATAGTTCTGTTGAAACCAAGAAGCCAGTGACCGATATTGTCCCTCAGAAGACCACCCACAGAATTAATCCCCGAGCTTGGTGAAACTGCTCCATCAACATTTAAGCAAGTCCATCCAGGATCACGGTGCTGCCAGCGAATAAAGTTTGGTTTACGCATTGAAACAGTAGGATGAGACAAACATGAATGATAGTAGCGAGCCCCTATGATGGCGCGATTACAGACTGCTACAGAAGATGGCTCAGCATTATTGAAAACGTGATCGTTCATGTCCTTCCAAAGGTGCCACAGTAAGAGATCATATTCCATGGGATATTCGTTTGCTGTGGCTGTGCCGTGAGAAGCTAGGTTCTGTAGCAACCAATCCTGTGTATTGCACTGGGAAAAAAGACATCATGAGAAGAATAATTGATTGTATTCGAAATGAAATTCCAGACTGTTTTGGTTTGAGGGGCAGTCTCTAAGGATATGTAAAACTGATTCATCCAAACTATTGCATCGAGGACAAGAAGAAGACTGAACTATTGAACGTCGAAAATGCTCGAGATTAGTCCAAAGCTTCTCTTTACAGACAAGCCAGATGAAGAGGCATATCCTTTGCGGAACTCCAGATCTTGTTTCAAATGACATTCATTGGTTGCTAGTTTTGCATAGACAATTAAGATTTAAGAAGAAGCAGAATTAATATCAACCCTGTGATTATGAGACCATCCAAACACAACCGTCATCACTGTCAAAAGCATCCGGGCAGCGAGTACCCAAAAATGTGGGGAATAGCTTCCGGAGTAAAGATAGTTAATAGTTTCTGCATATTCGAATCGCCTTTATCGTTCACCAAATCCAAGGGGTTAAGCGTAGCAGAATGAGCAGTCAATTGTGTAGTATAGTTACTCAATGAGCCAAAAGTGGAAATCCATACATCATCAAGAATATTAATATGGTTACCATTGCCAATCTTCCAGAGAATGCTTTCTCTCAAAGTCGGCCAGCTTTTAGAAATTCCCCTCCATAGAGGAGTACAAACGTGTCTATGCGCCGAAATGGGACATTGAGTCATATAACAGAGACAGCGTGTTGGAAAAATTGATTGCTGCAAAACGAGGCGTTACCACTTACTAGAAAATATTAAATAAAATATATAAACAAAGAAACATAGGCAATGTTCAGTGAAGAAACATAGGCAAGTTTCAATGAAGGCATTGAAGAAATGGTCCAAACAGATTTTGAAAGGCTTGGATTATTTGCAAACTCATGATCCTTGTATCATCCACAGAGATCTTAATTGCAGCAATGTTTTTGTCAATGGCAACACTGGTCAGGTATATGCCTTTAAATTCATTTTTTTAAATTATGAATGCGGTTGCATTTAGTTAATGTGTAATCTTATTGATTTGATGAGTAATATAGGTTAAGATCGGCGATTTGGGTTGGCTGCGATTGTGGGGAAGAGCCATTCGGCGCATTCGATTCTCGGGACGCCGGAATTCATGGCACTGGAATTATACGAGGAGCATTACACCGAACTATTCGACATATACTCATTCGGGTTGAGCGTGCTGGAGATGGTGACCTTGGAATTTTAGATGCAAAATCCAAATTAGTGGTTGCCTTTTGCCCTTCAAAACTCTCTTTAAGGTAGGAGAATTGGAAACAGCTTAGGGAAGGGTTTGGTTTATGTTTAATTTTGTATACAATATAAATGGGGGAGCCAAGCAAAGAACGTATGAGATTGAAGCAAATGACCTCTCAAGATATTGTAAAGCAGCCCTTGAAGTGGAGCTGCAGGGAACATATTTTCTTTATTATAGGATAAGTTGGGTGGGGAAGGAGCCTTTTCTTTACTATAGATATATCTGTCATGTATAATATTATACAATCAAATCAAAGTTTTATGTGTACAGTGAAAATAAAATTGATATCACTTTAAATATAAAAATTTTGCCATTTACGTAAAATGTAGTTCCCAACTTTTTTAGTACAATAAGGTATCTAATTTTTTAATAGTACAATTAGGTACTTATTTTTTTAATTATATATATTATTTTTTTATTGATTTATACCTATTATTTTAATGTTATTTAGTTAAAAGTATAATATATGTTACATAATTCATACATCACCACGGACTTGAGTCTTGAATCGTGGTAGACTCGTAGTATTAAATTGTGGTTGTAATTGCAGTGTTGCGATAATAATTATTAAAATGCTACAATGTGATTTATTTTTAACAAATAACTATGATTTTATATTTAGGATGCGATTGCGGTGTCGCGATGATTTTGAAAAATATTACGATGCGACTGTTGCTTTGCGTTACAGACCACCGGTGTGACATTTGCTTAGTATCTCAAACCGGATTCATTGGGAGAGGAATTTGTCTGAGTTCAACAGCTGTTGTAGATGTGGACACCCAGTTTATGATTGGTTACATGTTATTTTGGAATATCTGTTAATCTTCTTTGGTGAACGTTTTTGGAATATCAGTAGGTTTGGATAAGATGATGAATTAGACGTAATGGGTTTAGCATCTCATTGAAGATGACGAATTACGTGAAGTTCCTCGACATTTTCTCATATAATTAAACCGCAAAATGCTGACAATAACCTTTGGAAACCACGACAGACAAATGTGCTTTTACCTGATATAAGAAAAACAAGGACGAACAATGATGCCATTGAAGAAACCGAGTCTAAAAAATGCGGAGAATGGGAGGTTTTGATCTGTTCATCAAGTTGCTGACCTGTATTGCACTTGTTTCTGCTTTAATCAAAGCCTGCATGGGAGGTGAGTTACATGAACCCAAATCTTTTTACACCTTCATATGATTTATTGATCCACAAAATAATCTGGGGATTCAGTGGAATGAGTTGTCACACAATCCATGCTTGCTTAAGCTTAATGGTGTTAAGTGCAATCCTCAGGCTACCTTGATTGAAGAACTAAGGCTTGAAAATATGAATCTTAGCGGAATCCCTCTGCAAACTTAGAAAGCTCGAAGTTGTTAGCTTATCGAGAAATCTTATACACGGGACGATACCGAGCGCAATATCGTACTGCACTAGGCTGAGGTATCTCAACTTGAGCAGTAACACACTGAGTGGGAGAGTTCCTCGGACTCTGGCCAAGTTGAAATATCTCGAGAGTTTGGACATCTCTAACAATCCTTCTATGATCATCGGGTCAAATATCAGAAAGGGATCGAAGAGTTCATACGATTATTTCGAGGAACCGGTTTCGTTACAAAGAGATGGTCAGTTAAATACAACAAGCAAAGTTGAACAAGCTGCAGGAGCCTCGAAAGATTCTAGTGAAAAGAATTCAACCAGTCTATTGGTCATTTTGTTGCCTCTGTTTTTTAGCTTTGGCTTCCTCTTTGTGTTCATATACTATATGAGCAAGAGGGCCAACAAAATAGCCGAACAGAAGGAGACACTAAAGGTGCTTAAAGAATTGCCGCCCAAACTTCTCCCAATCGATGCAGAACCGGAAGTGATGCAAGAGGATAATAGGCAACAAGATATTGTGTTCTTTGTTGAAGACCGTGAAAGCTTCAAACTAGATGATCTCCTCGAAGCCTCGGCCGATTTACAAAGCCAGAGCATTTGCAGTAGCCTTTACATGGTAATACTTAAGAACAATGCAACTTATGCTGTCAAAAGGTTGAAGAAATTGCAGGTGTCTCTCGAAGATTTTAGCCGAACAATGAGGCGGATCGGGAACTTGAATCATCGAAATATCCTACCCCTTGTAGGCTACAGTTGTACTAATGACGAAAAACTTATTTTCTACAAGTATCAGAGCAAAGGAAGCCTCCTGAACTTGCTACAAGGTACACAGAACCTTAAAAACGATGAGGCCGGTTATATCATGATCGGAGTTTAGGAGTATGAACATTTTTTCCATTTGGTTACTTTATTGAATCTGTCTCTCTGATGAACTGTTTTTGTTAACTTGCAGGCTACATTGAGGGCAAAAGAGAATTTCCATGGAGACTAAGACTGGCAATAGCAAGTGGTCTTGCAAAGGGTTTGGCATTCATATACCAGAACCGGAACGATGACGAGGAGAGCATTCCTCATGGAAATCTAAAGCTCTCAAACATATTGTTGGGTGAAAACATGGAACCATTGATAAGTGAGTACGGAATTCCAAGGCTTTTGGACCCCAAGAAGAATGGCCTTTTCGCCAATGGTTATGCTGCACCAGAGAAAAGTTTATCAGAAAAAGGCGATGTTTTCAGCTTCGGAGTCATCTTACTGGAGTTACTAACCGGCAAGATGGTGGAGAAAACCGGAGTAGACCTCCCGAAGTGGGTGAAGTCGATGGTGAGTGAAGAATGGACCGGAGAGGTCTTTGACAAAGGGGTCCCCAAAGCCGCATTGCAGTGGGCATTTCCCTTGCTAAATATAGCTCTCAAGTGTGTATCTCATTCACCACAGGATAGACCAACCGCATTAGAGGCATCGGAAAAGATCGACGAGGGTTTCTTCAAAATCTTCCTGGGAATCAGGCCACCCTGATTGCTGTATACTTCACACTGTCATACCAGAAACTTGGGACACTCCGGTATCCAATTGTTAGCGCATTCTTCGTTGATTTTGCAGGAAGAAATCTCCATGTTAAGTTCAATAAGCTATCTACCTCGCATAATGATGCAGAGTGAAGCCTGAGTTATGTCATAATATTAGAATCACATATATTACAAGTCCATGCTATTTAATCGTATCGTATTGTATTTTAATTATTTTTCGTATGGTATTGTGTTTTTAAAATTTGCTCAAATCACCATGTGAGAGTGGGACCAATTAATACAGGAAATGGTAGCATGCATAATTTGGTTATGGTTTTACATATGGAATATGATCTGCAATTATTGAATGGTGGTAATTCTTTTATTGGGTTAATTTCTTAAAATTTGAAGTTTTGGATTTAACTCAAAGATAATTTGAATTAGCTTTAATTTGAAACATTAAGCCTTTCAAATCCCCCCTTTTTTTTGGGGGACAATTAGCCTTTCAAATTTCATACAGGGACAAATAAAAGCACCGAATTAGCCATTGTTGCTAGACTAACATGACAGCTGCTGACCCCAAGCACCACCCACAACGGCTATATGTTTGAATCTCTGGATTGACCCCATTGTCCATATCTACTAATTTGGATTATGATAATTCTTTGGAGCGCCTTTATTATTTTTAAATATTTCTTTTAAAAAATAATATTTTTCTTGACTTTCTTTTTCGATAATATTAAAGAATTTATACTATATAATATTTTTAACTTTTAAATTCAAATAACACTTATTTGGTTAATCAACGAATATATATATATATATCACAAATAAGTTGCGGGAATATTAATTTATCAAGAATCATTATTGTTATATGCATTTAATGTCAATGTAGGTGATTCTTTTCTTCAGCGTCCATAAATGGTAATTGTTTATATATATTTTAAAAATATTTATTTTATGAATAAATTATATTACTAGTAAAAGAGAGTTGAAAATGAACTTAAACCTATTTAATCTTGACATGTTTTGTGTTGTCTTAAATGCAACACTTTTTATTAATGATGTTAGTTTAAGGGGTAAACAATTTAAAATTGTTTACATAAAATTTTGAGTTCGAATTTTTGTGTATACTACAGAAAAATTCTGCCGAAAGACTCATCTATCAAAATCAGGTATACGATGCGAGTCGATCTGGAGTAGTTAGGACGAAATCCAGAAATCAAGAGGACAACACAAAAATGCAACACTTTTTAAGGTAGTAAATGTGATTATAAATAATATAAAATTTAAATAACTATGATTATGATAAATTATATAACATATTATCTAAGTTAAAATATATGTCAAACAATACTAAAATAAATTTACTAAATAATGGCACTATTATTTTACCTTCGGGGAAGGGAAAAAGTGTTGGAAGGATATTATAGTCATTTCGAACAACTAAAGCTCTCAGAGATCTAACATTTAAGAAGTCGAAAAACCCAACGGTCATCTCCATCCTCAAATCACCACAAAAACTTCCATCTCTTTTATTCTTGTTTACAAATTCAAATTTCAACTACAAGTTGAAGCTCTCTCTCTCATAGATATCTTAAATTCTTATTCTTCTTCTTCTCCATCTCCATATCTTTTTCTGAATATTCCCAAAACGAGACAGCAAAACAATGAAATCAAGTACAGAATCCGCCGTTGCCGAGAATGGCCGTTTCATGGGAAGGATTTCGACGTCTTCGATTCTGAATTTGCTTCCAAAATCAAAGCTTAAGAAAAGCAACAAGAAACCCAACTCTGAAAACACTCCTCCACCAGATCCCAACATTATTCAAGGGAATAACTCTGCCCAGTTCTCCCTTAAATATCCACTCTCCAAATCTCTTACTCGCTCCTTCGTCAGCCCATCTGACAATCATACTAGAATCCCGCCTCCGACGGACTCTTCGATCAAGGTATATCAAACAAGATCATTTTTCTCTTGTTTGAAATTTGATATATTTTGAGTAATTGTTTGAAATTTAAGCAGAAAGAGATTGTTGAATCCGAAGAACAAAATGAAGAAT